AGCTCTATAAACTATAGAGGGTAAATTTCTTAAACTAAGTCTTGATGGGGTGGAATAATGTCCACAATGATCCTGTTTTATGTGCTTGTATAACAGAAGGGAATGTCTTCTTTACAGAAATGACTGATACAAATCAGGAAATGCACACACAGCAGAATACTTACAAGAAGTGGCAGCAAAAGCTGTAACAACATGTGAACAAAAATTCAAATGCCTATGACGCAGTTGGGTACCAGATAATGCTGCAAATGTATCCAGGATGAGAAGAAATTTAGAAGAACAGGAAGGGAATACAGAGCTAGTAACACATGCCGCCCTGAGCCGTACGGGTAGGGCGGGATATAAATCCCAGAATAAATAAATAAATAAAATAAAATGGTTGCAGTGCTCATTTGCTGCACCTCCTAGCCAAAGACTTCAATCTTCCAGAAATAAAGACTAATATTGTTCAAATTGCTCAATACTTCCATAATAATCATTTTGCAGCAGCAGCTCAGAAAAGAATGAGTGGAACCAAGCTAACACTCCCACAAGATGTTAGATGGAACTCTGCAGTGGACTGTTTTGAGCGGTATATTAAGAACTGGCCTATTCTGATGACAGTTGGTGAACAAAATTGAGAGGAAATAGATGGCACTGTCACGGCCAAAATCCTCAACATTGGGCTTAAGAGAAATGTTGAACATATGCTGAGCATTCTGAAACCCATTTCTGAAGTTTTAAACAAGATACAGAAAAATGGCTGATTCTGTGGAAATTTGGAAGGAACTGAGTGACCACTTAAAAACAGAAGTACACACTGACAAATTAAATTACAAGCATTAAAAAAACAAATGGAACAAGCACTGTCTCCAGCTCATTTTCTTGCAACTTTTGTAAATATTCAGTACCAGGGTCAAACCTTATGAGATCCTATGAGATGGCAGTCAAAGCCGCAGCTTCGATTGCATCTGCAAAATCAGCCCAATTATTTAGAACGATTTGGTCTATGACTGTTCTGCCACAAGGCAGACCAAATGTTAGGGAACTGGACATTGGCTGTGAGGCTTTTGTGAGCTATTTTGCAGATAGTCTTGTCACTCTGCCGTGACCGCCCTGCCACAGTTGAGACAGTGAGTGGACTTGAGGCTCCGCGCACATCTTCTAGTCAGGTTATGGATTATTTCAGTCGGCTCAGCCTAGATGAAGTCAACTAATCGCTCTCAACTATATGCCCTACCATGTGCAGCCTTGACCCATGCCCATCGTGACTAATTAAAGCTGGTCGCGATGGGTTTCAACGTGCCCTAAGGGAGATTAAGGAAGCGGTGGTTCATCCTCTCCTGAAAAAACCACCCTTGGATCCGGCCGAATTGGCAAACTACTGGCTAGTTCCCAATTTGCCCTATTTGGGCAAACTAATTGAGAGGGCCGTGGCAACTCAGTTGCAGAGCTTTTTGGATGACACTTCCATATTAGATCCTTCCAGTCGTTTTTGCCCAGGCCACAGGACAGAGAAGGCACTGGTCACCCTCCGGAGGCATCTGGATTGGAATGGATCAGCAGTGCAGTTGTTATTAACGCTGTCGGCAGCGTTTGACACAGTCGACCATCAGTTACTGATCCTCTACCTCACTGACACTGGGATCTAGGGGTCTGGCTTGCAATGGCTTGCCTCCTTCCTTAAGGGTCAGAGACAAAGGATGGCATTAGGGAAACCACTATCCCGAAGGCACCCACTGATCTGTGGAGTGCCCCAAGCATTCCCCGATGCTATTCAACATCTATATGCGCCCCCTTGCCCAGAGGCATGGGCTGGGATGTCACCAGTATGCAGATGACACCCAGCTCTATCTGCTGTTGGGCGGCCAGTCTGACTCTAGACTGGAAGATCTGGACCTGGTGTTACAAGCCGTGAATGGATGGCTTAGACTGAGCCTTTTGAAATTGAATCCGAAGAAGACAGAAGTCCTGTGTCAGAGTTGAGCTGGTACGAGACCAGGGATCCCACTCCCGACCTTCAGTGGTGCTCTTCTGGAGCCAGCATGGAGGTTAGGAGTCTGGGAGTGCTCTTGGATGCCTCCTTAACAATGGAGACCCAGGGAGCAGCCACTGCCAAGTCAGCCTTTTACCATCTTCGGCTGATCAGGCAGTCGACTCCCTTCCTTGAATGCAGCGACTTGGCAACAATGATCTGTGCGGTGATCACCTCGAGATTGGACTACTGTAATGCTCTCTACATGGAGCTGCCCTTGTCCCAAATCCAGAAGCTACAGCTAGCACAAAATGTTGCAGCCAGGCTTCTGATGGGCCTCCCTATGCAGGAGCACATCCAGCCTGCGTTGAAACCACTGCACTGGCTGCCAATAGCATACCAAATTCGCTTCAATGTGCTGGTTCTTACCTTTATAGCCCTTTGTGGTCAAGGGTCTACATACCTGAATGACCACCTTTCCCCACACATTCCCCAGAGAGCACTGTGTTCAGGGTCCCAAAACCGACTGGCCCTCCTGGGTCCCAAAGATGTCAGGCTGGCCACAACCAGGGCCAGGGCCTTCTCAGTGGTGGCTCCATACTGGTGGAATGAGCTCACAGAAGGTATCAGGGCCCTGCGGGACCTTTGACAGTTCCGCAGGGCCTGCAAGATGGGGCTCTTCCACCAGGCCTTCAATCAAGGAGCTGCATCAAATAACTGAACTGTGATAGGGCCCTGTTCCTCTGGTACAACCATCCACAGCCTGTGCCTGCCACATAAATAAACAGATCACGAGGAGCTGACCATCAATACAGACTGTATCCCATTTGAATATTCCACCAGGAGTGTTTCCGCCATCTCTATGCAATGCTATTAACATTAGTTCTACCATCACTAACACTTTATGACAGTTTGATTGTTTTATGATTGTTTTATAATTTACTGTATGTGTTTTAACCTTCTATGTAAGCGGCCCTGAGCCTGCTTCGGCGGGGAGGGTGGGGCATAAATTGAATAAATAAAGTGCTGCTGAGGAAGAGGAGTTAGCTCTGACACGGGAATCCAGCAATCATCCATCAGTAATGCCGAGTATAATAAACTTCAGAGCTAAGGGAGAACCATTCAAGAAATATATGTTTGCTGATGATGTTTTAAAGAAAGTCACACCAGTCAACTGGTGGAAGACACTTAACCACTTGGATTTAGAGACTGAAGTAGTAATGAGTTCACTTTTAACAGCAGTAGCTTCTTCTGCTGGCATAGAAAGAATATTCACTTCCTTTGGACTCATTCATTCCAAATCCTTTGGGACTCCATAAAGCAGGAAAGCTCATTTTTCTTTGCCAGATTATGAACAAACAAGAAGATGAAGACGAGTGAGTTACAGAAGACAGTACTTTAAGTTTTTCACATGTGGACTGGGCTGACACTCTAAGTTCTTTCAAAAAGATATTTTGATTAGCCACAGCAATTAACAAACACGGATGTTTAAGCAAATACAAGAATACATATGCTACAATGTTACTGGTTTTAGTTACATAAAACTATTTAAATTGTTATTAAGGTAATAATTATATTTCACCTTCCAATAAAGTACAACAAAAAGTTGTCCAAATATGTATGATTAACCTATTAAACTGGAGATAGTTCACCTGACAATAATTTCATAATTATCTATGCATATGTTTCTAGTAGTACAACCAAATCAGTAATTTTTTGATATAACCGTAAAACTAATTTGAAAATCTGTTATTCTAAAAATGAATCTTCATCTGGTTGTAAATACTAAGATTATACCAGCAAGAATGAGCCTTTATGTCGAAAACCATGATTTAAATCTAGTCTTACTGACCAGTGATATAAATCATGATTTAAATCAAATCCACGCTGCTTGGCAGTCAAAGTATAACTTCATGATTTATGTGGGGGTAGGGGCTGAGGGAAGAGATGCACCCTGGCATAATAGAGATGTAGGTGGCATTACCTTTTAGAAAAATACTATACAGAAGCCCCATTGTGAACTTGGAACATGACCCCATTTGGCTAATAATGGCGCCTACCTATTCCAAAACCACACCTGCATCAAAAACACACAAAGCTGTGTTTTACTGATAGAAAACAGAAAAAAGGGAGGCTTGATAAGATTTAGTCTGCAAAGTTTATTTTAAGAAGCAGGTAGACTGAGGAGTCAGGGCAGCTGATGACCAGCTTAGCCAAAAGCAACCCAAAGGTCTCCATAGACACACAACTTGTTCCTGGCTTGGCTGCTTCCTCCTGCCCATGAATCATGGCCTACCAATGGCAAGCAGGCTGATGACTTAGCAATGCTCCTCCAGGAGATGGAGGTACAAGGGGGCCCAAGGCAACAGCTGGGGATTCTGCCTGACAGCAGCAAAAGGGGGCAGACAGGTTTGTTTCAATCCCATGCAGCACCAGCTGTGATCTATTTATCAAAACCACGGTTTAAACAAGCTGCAGTCAGTCTTAGCACCTGAATGCTGCCATTAAATTCCCTTAAGCTGTTAGCCGTATCATATCCTATAACCAGTGTTCCATCTAAGCTGAGTTAGTGTGAGCTAGCTCACAGTTTTTTAGCCTCTAGCTCACACATTTTTGTCTGAGCTCAGGAAGGACGGCTCCAGAGCAAACTGATTTATGCAGTAGCCAAATTGCTCACTCACAACTTTAATGCTAGTAGCTCACAAAGTAGAATTTTTGCTCACAAGACTCCACAGCTTAGAGGGAACATTGCCTATAACCATTTTCTAAAAATGACAATCGTTAATTTAGAAAAAAGGAATGTGAAATGTCTTTTTAACAGAAAAATGCACCTTTGGGGATAAAACATTTTACCTTAAATTCTGAGAAGCTAAGCTGCAGCAATTAAAACAAGTCATGCTGGCTACTATTTTATGTATCTGCCCCCAAGGTCACAATCAAGTGACGTAAAGCCCTTGGAAGCCTCAGTTCTGCAAGCCCATCTCCAATACAGTGTAGCAGTTACACGAATATACAAAATAGAAATACTTTGAGATGTTCTGCATACCTGCTGGAATAGTTTTTGAGAAGCAAGTTTGTTCGGGGCACCACTTCGTAAGAACAATTGAAATTTTCTGTTGTGTTCTTAAACTGGTACTTGTGCCCCAATCTTCACCTACTGGAGAAAAGATACCATGAGACTCCATTACTGAAAGAATTTTATGAAAGAAAGCTAGCTCCTTGGAAATAAAGCCAATATTCTACAAGATCATTACATCGTAAGAGGTTCATGGCAAGAGCAATGAGAAAGGCATATGCTGTAGTAAGTCAGCAACAAAGATTCTCACTGGAAAACTTTGAGCCCACTGGCACCTTTAAGACCAACGAAGTTTTATTGTGGGTACAAGCTTTTCTATGCACACACACTTCTTTTGGAGTGTGCTATCTGAAGAAGTGTGCATGCATATGAAAGCTTATACCCACAATAAAACTTTGTAGGTCTTAGAGGTGGCACTGAGGTCAAATTTTGTTCTGCTTTTTCAGATCAACACAGCTGCCCACCTGAACTGAAAAACCAAGTTATTCTCAGGAGTTAGCCAAGGAAAGTGAGGATAGCAAGGTTCTACACCTTGTGCTCATGAGATCATAGTTTGGATACCTACCACTGTGTATCAAGTACATGCAAATCACACCCACAGGCAGAAAAAAAACACCAGGATGGCCGCACCAGGTTTTGGAGACATCCAGAAGTAGAAATACCAAAGATAGTCAAAGCTTATGGACCTCTGGACAAGTTCCAAGGAATATTCAAGTGCAACACTACAAAGAATAGAACTTCCACTTAAGGAAAGTTATAGATTGGCAGCGTGTAGAATTCCAACCAAAAGAGACATCCTTCGATGTCTTTTAAGTCTTGCTATTACAGCTTCCATTATCAAGAAATGTAGACTATATAATCAGTTCCTACAAACATCCTTCAGAAAGGAATGGGCTGATATATAGTTTTAAGTCCTTTTAATACAGTGCTATCAATAACGGAAGGCACATTTACTGCTCATCCATAGGCTGGCCACTATACTTTAGACCAGGGGTCCTCAAACTACGGCCCGTGGACCACATGTGGCCCACCGAAAACATTTATCCGGCCCGCCGGGTGTTTTTGCCGCCGCTGCCTGTCCTGCTTAGCAGCCGACTCGTCCTGGGCCCGCAGTGCGCATGTGTGGAATGTGCACCGCACTCAGGGCCCAAGTCAATCAGGGCTCAAGTCAATCAGCACATGATGTGGTCCTCTTCTCAGTTCCGCGCCGCGTGGCTTTGTGGGGGGCGGGCGGGATGGTCAGCTAGTTCCGCCCCCCGGGCCCCACCCCACCCCCGGCCCTCCAATGGTCTGAGGGACAGTGAACTGGCCCCCTGTTTAAAAAGTTTGAGGACCCCTGCTTTAGACCCTCTCCCTTTCACAGTCTTCCCTTGCTGCTGCAACTACTACTTATAACACCTTTCCCCTGCTGCGACTGCCACTTCTGCAGGCTTTCCGACTTGATACAGGGTGCTACGTTGCCATTCTCTTACTTAGCCACAGTTATGAAATTAGGAACAGGCCATGGCCCATGACACACACACCCCAGCTTGACCATGACAAATTATTGAAATCAATACTAAGGATGATGTCCAACTCCGGGTGGCATGGAACAAGACTGAGCAATGAGACACACACTTTACATTCAGGAAGTCCCTTGTTGAATCACTGGCATCTCTAACTGGAGCTGTCAGTGACTGACCCAGGGACTTCTTACATGCTAATCATGTGCTTCACCACTCAGCTTTGATACCTAGACCTTGAGCAGCTGCGGCCAAGAATGACCTTTCCCTGTCTAAGACCGTGGACAGCCAGCAGTCACAGTACAGAACAGTGCGCTAGGCCTGATTTACATACTGCATCAATCTACTCAGAATGCCTTCATAAGCACAAAGTTACCCAGTTGATTTTAACTACTTAAATATAAAAGTATCATACCCATCTTCATAAGTCAAGGGTTACAAGTGTTTCTAGAAAGGGAACACCCCACTTCTTATCAGTGATTCTTGACATATCCAGAAGTGACTTAGATTTGCCACAGTCTTTTAGTTTTAAGACAATCTTCCATCTTAAACTGAAACACTCACAATATTGCAAAGTGGATGCAAATTAAGAGATTGATTCTCATACAACCCCAGGATCCCAATCACACAAATATGTTCCTTTAATTTTTTTAATTGTTTCTGTTGTCAGTTTGGACCAATTTAAATGTTAGCATACTTGGTGTCAGATTCTTCTGAGCTTGGCAGGAAGTGAGACATGCCAACACCTTAAAGAGCACTGTCAACTCAGTTGGGAAATAAAGCTTGACAGTTACTAAGCAAAGGACTAGCCACTCGCTGACCATCCTGACAAATGCATGAAATTAGGTGCCAAACAAAAATACTTATGTCAGTAACCATCTTGCAATACCAATAAGCATGAATAGGAGTTTTTAAGAATGGCTCTAAGAAAGACACCTTTATGCACTTTTAAAGTAAATCTGCTCATGATTTTAGCTCTTCTAGGCACCCCAACTCTACCATCCCTGAATACTGGATGATCTCCTCTTACCAAGCAATTCCACACATCTTCCTGCTTCAAACTCTCTCCTACAACAACCATGTATGCCCATCCATGCCAACCTGGACCAGGGTCTAGAAACTTGCCTTTCTTGTCTACGCTATTCTATAAAACAGAGTACACTATGACAGTGAAGTAACTGAGCTTATGTAGCAATTCAATTCAATATCCAGTATTATCATCACATCCATCATAACACAGTTCTAATCACACCAACTACATAAGAGTTCGCCAGTACAGGGGAAGCCCCTAAATCGTTGGTTCTCAGACCCTCTCGACTATGACAAGGAACATTCCAAGTTACTTGCATTTCGATCATCACCTGTATTCTGAATACAGCAAGCACTGCCAGTAGCTCAGGAGAGTGTTTAAAAGTAAGCGTATCAGATCAATCAAACTCATCACACCTTCCACCCATGCAGGAATTTTCTTTAAAACTGCTAGTTCAAACAAGCTAGCACACCCACTGCAGGTGATCTAGGAACAGTGGGGCTAAGTCAGCACCAGCACACAATAGTGTATTTCCTCTCTGGGAGGCTTCCTACCTGGAACGACTCTTGCTACAGATGTCTGACCACACCCTGTCCTCCAGTCGGGCCCTTCCCCCCCCACCCCAAAGAGACCCCCCCTCCCCG